CCCCCCCCCCCCCCCCCCCCCCCCCCGCCCAGCTCCCGCTCGGCGCGGCTTCCCCACCTGGCGGCTGCGGCGCCCGCGGCTGCTCCCGCGGCGGAGACGGGGGCGGGGCGGGGCGGGGCCGCGGATCCCGCGCACGGCCAATCAGCGCGGGCGGAGTTAGCGCGCCGGCCCCGCCCCTCGGCGCCGCGTCCCGCGGGCTCCGCGTTGGGGTTTGGGGGACGTGCCTTTGCAGCGGGCACGGCGGCTGCTTTCCGCCCGAACGGGGCGCGGGCCCGCTGCTGTGGACTTCAGCGCCCATGTGCCCCCACCCGGCGCCGCAGCAAGAGCGTTCCCTGCACGCGGCCTGTTTCCAGCGGGGGTGACGATCTCCCTCGTTCCTGCCCTGCGCGGAGCTCGGGGAGTCGCGCGGGTGCCCCGTCTATGCATCCATCACGACGACCCTGTGAGGTGGGCGAGGCGGAAGCCACTGGCGGCCCACGGTCAGTCAGCAAGCTGTGCCTCAGGAGAGATCTGCTGTCTCCGAACTCGGGCCGCTGCACCCCACTTGCGGTGCCTGTGGGCCCCGGGCCAGCACGCCTGTTTGCAAGGGGGTAAACGCTGCTCTTCCAGGGCTACCGTGTGCTGGTCGCAGTCCCTTTGCAAGGAAGGAGCGTGGAAACCCAGCCATCTGCAGAACTGCAGTCCCGCCTCTCCCCCGGCCGGCATCCTCGCTAGAGGTCTCGGCAGTAAAAGTGTTCCTTCCACAGTTTGGGGGTGCAGCCAAATTGTGCCAGATTCTACCCCCTCATCCGGAACGAGCCCTATTAAACACAGCGTGGCTTCTGTGGAGGGGTGTGTAGGATCGCAGGCAAACACGCAGCACAAGTCACTGGATGATGGGATTTAGAGTGCCGCCTGTGCACGGGTGAAAGGAAAGCGTCCTACATGCATGGAGTTGCTCCCCATTCTGAATCCTGAGGCCTGTGGTGAAAATAACAGAATTTGGGGGTATGTAATGCCACCCCGCCCCACGCTTCACCAGCTGAAATGGGTCACATCACTTTGCCAGTGCCCAGAATTCCATTTAAACATCACACCAAAGCAAGCAGTCACTTTCTGTTTTATTTTGGGTCCTCATAGCCCCTCTTTTCGGATCGAATCTGCCAGCCTTCCTTCCGTCAGGGGCAAGGATTGCGGGGGTCTTCCTGATTGGTGGGGAAATAAAAAATCCCCTTCTCGGCCCTGCAGGGCTTGTAAGGGGACACATTCCCAGAGGAGCCGCTCATGCAGCCAGTGGAGAAATTGCTGTACAGCGAAATCTTGATTTGCACCAAAATTTGGCGTCCCTGCAGCAAGGAAAGAGGATTTAAGAACGGGGGTGCGGCACGGGACCCCCGAGAGGAGCTCTCTGCTCAGGGAGAGCTGAGGTAACCCACCTGGGCATCAGTCACACACTGCAGCTCATACTGATTTCCCAGGAAGGGCTCCAAAGCGCCGGTGAAGGTTTGGAACTGAAGAGGGAGAATTGCAGGACGGGAGAGTCAGAGGCACGCCAGACGGAAAACCCTGGCAGGAAGCAGGGTCTGGATCCCCAGAGACATCCGGCGGCCTCCCCCCGGCTCGGTGCCCTTGCGTTCAAGCCGTTCAATACCCTCACGGGTGCAGTTCTGTGACTTTCAGATCTAAGGGTCTGCTTCCCCCAAGCCCCTTTCTGGAACCCCAGCTGTGTGCTCACTTCCGGCCTTGCACTGCAGCATTGGGCACAGGGGCCGGACTTGCGACACAGCTGGGGCTTTCCTCCCAAACTGAATTTTGGAAAGCGTCTGCACTGTTGGCACCCTTGCAGCACCGGGCAATCTCAGCCAAGGGCGCCCTTCCTGCTCGCCGGTCCCGGTGACATGCCGACGTCCTGGTAGCCTCACCCTTTCCGTTCAGGCCGCCTAAGGCTTGGTAGTCCAGCATGGAAAGAGCCTGCACAGAAATCGTGCAGGCCGATAGGAGGAGATGAATGAAAACGGCGATGGAGGCCAAGCTCTCTCTGGCCAGCCTCATCTTGCACCTCTCCCCAGTCCCTCGGACTGCTGAGGAAGCCAGCGATCTGGGCAGACAGAAGGCGCACCTGATAATTCCTGGAGCAGGATGGCACAACGGCGGCCGTTTGGAAGGCTCTGCATGGCAAAGAGGAGGGTAAGCAGGATTAGTCCCTAGAAGGAAGTGGGGCTTAATTCAAGACTAGGCTTTGATCTGTCCTTTAGGAACGCAGCCCCCAAACACACATACTTAATTTAATATACTGTTTCCCTACAGTTTATATTATCTTTCTCCTCTCCATTTTATCCTCACAGAGTTCTGTAAGGCGGGTTTTTTTTTTTTTTTCGATTTATATCCTGCCTTTTTCCTACAAAGGGCTTGAGGCAGCTTACATCCTCCTCCTCCTCCATCCTATCCCCACCACAACAACCCTGTGAGGCAGGCTGGGCTGAGAGTCTGTGACTGGCCCAAAGTCACCCAGTTGGCTCCATGGCTGAGCGGGGACTCGAACCCGGATCGCCTGAGTCCCGGTCCCGTGCGCTTCACCACCACACCACACTGGCTCTCAGGCTGAGATTCTGCAGTTAACCCGGTTGCCCCGTGCGCCTCAGCCCTACGCGTGGTTTCCCAAGGCCCAGCCACAAACTCCAAGAATTACGCCACACTGGCCCATTTCTAGCGTTAAAGCTCAGAGACCCTGAACTTGGCTGTTTCCAGATAAGGCTGTTAACACACCACCAACGAATATTACTGGGGTCCACACATTATCATCTTCCTTTTGTAAACCTCCCGTGTTTTCCCAACATTTCTTCCATATTTTATTTTATTGCCGGAAATCCCTTCAGGAGAAAAGATCTGGAATAGCCACGCAAAGGGCTGCAGTGGGACTCCAGGGGTGTCTGGCTTTCTCCCTCCCTGGACTAGACCTTATTTGTGAGTGGCAGTGCCAAATCATGTGTTCATTAACTATGGGTTAATCATAGGTTAAAGAACCTCACGTTAACCCAACTACAGGTGCAACCTTAGACCGAAAAAGGCGTCGAACTCCCAGCCAGCTCGCACATGGTGGTAGCTTTAGGCCTTTTTCTGCCTAAGCATGCATAGGATTGTGCCTTGGTTGCAGGTTCATTTGGGGCTGTTCGACCTACAATTAACCTGCAGTGCCCGCGTTTGCACGTCACAGAGTGGCTATCCATCCGAGGTTGCCGATGGGTGGCACGAGGCCCTGGCGGGACCTGGGCCACTGACTCGGCTCGCTCTGAGTCTTCAATGTGTGTGCATCTCGTCCAGCTTGGCCTCCAAACTTGGGCTTGTTTTGGGCAAAGCCGCGGACTGTGCCGCCCTCGTGGCTGTTGCGCTTTGCTGGCTTACCGGTCAATGTTGTATTTTGAGTGCAGGAAAAGAGCAGCTTGGAAGTAATTCTGAGGCGTGTGCAGCGTTTCGATGCAGCCAGCGCAGGTTCCGTGTTTCTGCCACTCCTTCTCCCTGCGGGGGGGGGGGCAAGGGGGGCATCCAACGCTCTGCAGGCCCACCTCTGGATCAGCCCACCGTCTCCAGCAGCTGGCGAGCCCTGGGGCTCAGCAGTGCCCCCCACGAAGAAATCAGGGCCCCCCAGGCACCGGATTACTCTGCCCCCTGGTGCCAGTACCGTGGAGTTCTGGTTGACTGGCAGAAGTGGGGATGAGCCCCGGGTGGGGGTGATCCTGCAGTTCCCCCTGGAGGCTTTCACCCCCTCTTCCGGCCTCGGCAGCTGCCGGGCTGAACTGATTCCTCAGCCCAGGCGGGCTGCCTGCCTGCCTTCGCTCGCCCGCTTACCAGAAGGAGAAGCTGCTTGTGTTGATGAAGGTCGGCCATTGCAGGCTCAGCTCGGACTCCAGGCCCTAAAGGGAGGAGGAGCGGTGTGCGTGGGAGGAGCCGCCCCGGTGGGGAGGCGTGTGGGGTGGCTTTGTGCACGGGGTCGGCAAGGGCCCCCCGGCCCCGGAGGAGCCGCACCCCAGCCTGGGCTCCCGCCGCCAGCACACTCACCGCCAGGTCGGAGGGGAAGAGGCGCCAGAAGGCGCAGCACTCCGTGACGTGGTCCGGCCTGCGGAGGGAGGAGTGGAGGTGAGTGGCGATGCTGCCGGGCTGCCGGGCGGGCGGCCCAGGGCGCTTCCCCGTTCCCCGGGGCTCCCGGCAGGGCGGAAAGGGGTGCAGGGCTGCCAGGACCACAGGCCTCCGCGGAGGTCCAAAAGCAATTGTCTCACCACAATCCGTGGATTGTCCAGTTGTGCGCGTTCTTTGGCACGACGCACTCAAACTGCCGCCCCAGCGCCTCGGGAGACAAGACAGAGGAAGCGTGTGGGGTCCGGTGGTCACTCCCGGCTGACCCGGCTGACCGCGCGCCACCGGATCCTCAGCCGGGCCCGCCTCGCCGCGTTCTCGCCCCCGCAGCAATCCCATCGCATCGCATCGCCCAGCCCTCGCCCTCCGTCCATCTCCCCCATCAGATGCAGATCTTGAGAATGGCTCCACGGTTGTGGCTTCCCCCCAAGTCTGGGGAGTCTTCCCCCGCACCAGGGGAATTCTGGGAACCGGACCTTTCGCCCGCCAGGACTCTCAGCCTCGTAGCTTCTGCCCTCCGTGCCTCCGACGCTCCTCTCGCATCTTCCTGCCACCTGCTCGCTTCCTGTAAGCCCCCTGGGAGCGGAGACCTTGTCTGGGTGGCTTACCTGACTTGGCAAGGTGTGCATTGGGTTCCCCGGGCCACAGCGCAGGCACAGGCAGAACTGGGGGTGAAGAGGGTTCCCAGGCGCCGACCCAGCGTCACTTAAAGCTCTCCGGCCCTCGGCGAGGTGCCTCGGCCTTTCAGAAGGGAGGAAAGCTGCCCCAAACCCGGCGGGGGATTTGTGGTCGGGGAAAGGGGGCGCCCCGAGGAAAGGGCATGGCCAAGGGCAAACCTGGTGGCCAGAATCGGACCCCCAGCTGTGGTTTCTGGCCCTTGCTCAGGAGCTGCTCGACAAATTGACTTGTGGGGGGGGATTTATAGGCATCTGAAATCAGAAGGAGGGGCCCTGAGTGGAATCGCTCGGTCACTCACCACGCAGAAGGAGCCCGGCCACAGCTGGACGAAGATCAGGCATTCCCAGGGACAGGTCCTGCAATGCGGGGGGTGGAGGTCAAGGGGCGATTCCGCCTGCCGGACCCCGGCTTCGTGGGATGGCCCACCTACCTGGAGCCGCCTGCCTCCGGCCGCCTCTCCTCAGGGCTGACGGTCAGCCAGAAGACGCCCATGCCGAGGAAGGCCCACGCGGCCCAATTCGCCGCCATGCCTGCGGGGCGACGGAGCCGGTCAGTTCCCAGAGCAAGCCAGCGCCATGACCCAAGCAGGGGGCCGCCCGGCAGCCCCCGCCCTCCGGCGCACCCGGCAGCCTGCCCGCGATCGCTCTCCAAGCAGGACTGGGGCGGATCCTGCCCAAAACGCGGACAGACCGTTGCAGGCAGTGTGGGGGCCGAGCTTGGCCGGGCCCGGCTTGTTCTGCCCGGCGGCTGCCGACGTGCAGCTGCCTGGCGCGTCCGTCCCGGCTCAGGGGCAGCACCGATATGCGGTGGGAGAGCAGGTGTCCGCAGAGAAGCACAGAGCCGGTTTCACTTCTCCCCGCAAAGGGGCCGAGGCGGTGGGCGTTTCGCTGGGGCGCAGGTGCTGGGAGGAGTTGCAAGTCCCTCGGCTCCTGTCGGCGCATGCAAATTTCCCATCTTCGCGGAACCGCTGGTCGAGGAGGATAGAGAGGGGGCGGTGAGGCCCCGTCCACACCTGGCTGCCCCAGGGTCACCCTGGGCCACCTAGGGAGGACTGTTCCCGCAGTCCCCTGGTCAGAGGAGCGCCTTTCCGTTTGCTTTCCCCAGCCAAGCACCTCCAGATGTGCTGAATGGCCACTGTGTGTGTTGACACCCAACATCTGGGGGACTTCAGCTCAACAAAGGGTGATGGGGGTTGTAGTGCCCACGGATCTTGGCAGCCATTTGTTGCAGATGCTGGGAAAATTCAGATAAATCCTGGCAGAAGGGGGTTGCTTATGTGTCTTTGTGTTACAAAATGCCTGCACCCTTTCTCCACGCGTGCACGTGTGTGTGTGTGTGTGTGTGTGTGTGTGTGTGAGAGAGAGAGAGAGAGAGAGAGAGAGAGAGAGAGAGAGAGAGAGAGAGATCAGCAGAATTTAACACACTGCAGCTGTGCTGGACTACAGCTTCTATCCTCCTCAGCAAAGAGCTGCCTGTTCAGGGCAGCCTGGGCTGGAGGGAGTCAGCCTGGAAGCAGGAGGCCTGCCTGGCTCTCCCCGCCCCAGAGCTCGGGGGGACCTGGGGCTCCCTGGGGGCTTGCCGTGAGGTCCATGCGGTGGAAGGACCCCCGTTCCACCCCGAGCGTCTCCGGCCGGCGAGCAGCGTCCTGGGCAGGGCCGCCGGGAGCCCTCGAGAGTGTTTTAGCAGCTGCGTCACCGCTGCCGCCCTTCCCGTGAAGGCCCCTTCGACTTGCTCGGTGAACGGGAGCGCATATTCTCTGTGCCCCTGAAGGTTTTCACAACCCAGGCGGCTCCCTGGACCCCCGCCAGCTCCAGCTGCTTCCTGCACCGCCGGAGTGCAGCGGGCAGGGAGCGGTGGGTGCCGGAATGGGGGGCTGCAGCCCTCGCGGCCCCTCCGGGCCCTTTAAATCCGTCCCTTCGGTCTCGGCGTTCGGCCCGAGTCGCGGCCTCCTCGGCTGCCTCTACCCCTGGCAGCTGGACAAGTGACACAGCCCTCGGCCGGCCTCCGTGCGCCCCCCCACCCGCCTGGGGAGGCAGCGTCCTTGGGAAGGCAAGGCGTGCCGGAGGTCGTCACTGCCGGGACAAGCGAGCGAAGGAGAAAGCGAGCACCAGGCCGCCCAGAATGCAGCTGCTTCTGGTAACTCGGTGCCTCCGTGGGGCAGGAAGCCACTTGCCCTGCGGGGGGCCGGGGGGGTTGTGTGGGGCGTTTGCGGCTCGCCCGTCGCTGGCCCCCAGCCACGGGCGCTCGAATTAATCATTTGCTGGCAGGCCGATACTAACACCACCGGTGGAAGGTCGGTGGAGACGGGGTAGCGAGCAAACATTGTTGAAGAAAACTGCGAGAGCAAAATTGCTGAGGCCAAAGCTGGAAGGGGCTGCAGCTGCCCCACGTTCTCAGGCAGGCAGAAGCAAATAAAGCGGGAGCTGCAGCCCACCTTGATCACTGGATCGAAAACCCCAAGTGGGGGAGCACCTGGCGCCATGCCAGGTGGCCGGGGAGCCACCCAAGCGTCTGCAGCCCCCCCCCCCCGAGGGGTGGCCGGTTTTCTATGTATGTGTTCTGCAAGGTGGAGACGAAAAGCCAGCCTAGTCTGAGCTCCGAGCGGCACAGCATTTCTGCTTCAAATTAACCGTGTCCTCCGTTCCCAGCTGGCGAAAGGGGGCGATCCTGCCCCCTCGGGGCCCTTTGCTCACGCTTGTTGATTAGTGTGGAAAGGGGGCGCGTGAGGACTGACCTTCTGGGGGCCCTGCCCTGTCTGCATTTTCCGTTTTCCCTGTGGCCTGCCCTGCCCAGAGAACTCGGGCAGTTTGCACGCCAAAATATCCCCTTGCACGACTGCGAGCGTGGTGAACTGCTTGCACAATGCGGTGAGTTTGTCGGAGTCACTTAACTCACGGTGAGCCAAGGGGTGAGTCAGGTGCCTTTATGAATTTGCACCTGATGTGGGTGCCACGTGACCGGCAGGCCTGGCCAGTGGGGGGCTAGGCGAGGGTTCAACAACCCTCGTGTGACCCCCCCCGGCTAGTAGTAGGGTTATTCAGGGGTTAATTAATCCTTGAGTAACCTGAGGACGTGTGCCAGCCCCATCGCGGTGCATATTCACACTGGCAGGGGCACATGCCCCGCACACACACAGCAAGCCGGTCCTGCTTTCCCCCAAAGTGCTTCGGGGATCCAGCTGCGCGGAGGTGTCGGGGGATCCGTGCAGGCTGTGCCTTTCCCCAAAGAAATAGGGCTGGGTAGAGTCCAGTGCTTGGGCAGACGGTCTCTGGACTTCAATCCCCATCCTTGACTGACAGTGGAGGCTGATGCAGCCGTGCGAGGGGCTCTGGGCATCACAGCCCCACACGGCCGGAGGGCTCTGGGTGAGGGGAGCCGGCCTGGGCCACGGAGAGGACGAGGGACCCGGCGGGCCTCCTCTGGGCCTCCGGATTCAGGTTGCGCTTGTGCCTTTCGGTCCCCTGGGAGCAACATGCAGAGCCGGCGTGAGCAGAAGTCAGAGCTGCAGGTGTGGCTGCGGCTGGTTGAGAACCTCGGCACTCCAGCGGCAATTAATGACTTGACCTTTGAGGCTTAATCACAAGCCTTTCGCGACCTTCATTTCTCCCTTGGAAAACGAGCAGAAGATGCTTCCTAGCCGGCCTTCCTCATGGCTTCCCTGCCCTTTGTCTCTTCCCTCCCAGGCCTCCCGCATCAGGCCCCTCTTCATTTCCTCTACTCGTCAGCTGAAAAACAGAGTCCCAGAATACCAGAAATTATTCCAGGTGAGAAAGGTGGCCGGCCCCAGCTGCGCACTATTCACGCAAAAGTGTGCAAAGCCAGGCCCCAGTGCGTGTCTCGGCCCTGGCGCCATTGACCAAACAACAGCCAGTGTTTCTCCCCAGGTATCTGCATAAGTAGCAGGGACTAGAGCCTTTTTTAAAAATGAAAGTGTAACGTTTTGGGAGGGGCCTGGACATACCCACCCCTCGCCTGGGGCTGCAGCCCTTGCTACACCTGGGGCAGCCCCGCAGCCCCTGCCATGCCGTTTCCAGAGTTATTGTCCCCCAAGACAAAAGGCAGGTGTGTCCAGAAGAGCCCCTGCCTTGCCTGGCATCTCGGCACGTTCTCCTAAACACCTGGATGCGGGTCACAACCTGGATGTGCGAATTGGGGTGTCCAACCTGAGACTGCATCTCGGGCTCCAAACTGCGCCTTGGGGAGGTTCCCCGGGCGGCCCCACCCCTGCCCCCCTGGGCTGGGAGACCCCCCAAGGCTTAGTCGTGGGCCATGAGAGCTTTAGGCCAACATAGGCTGACCTTTCCGGCTCGCTGCCTTTCGTTTCCCCCGCTTTGCACTGACCGCCACCAATGCAACCCCCACGTTTCCCTGAAATGGGACTTGGGCCCCCGGTTGAAAGCGTCGGCACCCCCGGGGTACGTGCACTCGAGGCTGGAGCCAGCGGGACTAACGCCGCCTTCTCCGCTGCAGGAAGACAACGGCCTGCCGGTGCACCTGAAAGGGGGCACCAAGGACAACATCCTGTACCGCATCACCATGTCCCTGTGCGTCTTCGGTAAGTCCCGCTTCCATCCCAACTTTGTGGAGGAAGGAGGAAGGTCCAGAGGCGGGAGGGCCGGGGGGCCTGCGGTGGCTGCGCAGGCGCTGCTTCTCTGCCACTTTCGAACATCTCGTGGACTCTCTTCGTTTTGTTCCGTCTCGGGCTCTATTTCGTTCGTTTCTGCGGGATTAAGGTTCCTCGTTTGCACGCTTTTCTCTCCTTTTCTCTCCCTTTCTCTGCCCTGTCTTGTGTTGCCCGTTACACAACCACAGGGGACGCTACACTACAGCGGAAGCGCACAAATCCGTGAGAGCACAATGTGCAATGTCCAGATAAGGCCCACTTTCCTTGTTCTAAAAAAGCTGCCGAAACAATACTTCTTCACACAGTTAAACTGCGGAACTCCCTGCCACGGGGAGTTCTGCATGGCTTTAAAAAGGGACTGGACAGGTCCAAGAGGGAGGAGGCTTTCTCTGGCTGCTGGCCTTGCTGGCTGCGGGCCACCTGCTTTACCGGAGGTGGCGTACCTGCATGCACCTAAGGAATTCCTGGAAGACCATCTTCACCTGGCCCTGCTTTTGGTGTTTAAAAAGTTGGGGGCATTTGAATGTGGGGGCGGGAGACATGAGGAAGAACAGAAAAGAAAGGTATGCCCAGATGCTTCAACCTGATGCTCCAGAGCCTGCTGCTGGTGAAAGAGAAACCGCGCATGCCGTTTCTCTCGGATGTAGCGCATGACAATTGTAGAGCCTGCGAAAGAGAAAAGAGCAGAAACAGCTCCTCGAAACCACTTTCACAGTCGCTGCCCGAAACGGAAGCCCCGTGCTTCTCGCTGAGGCGAGACGAGGAGGGAAACGAAACCACCCGGCCCTTGCGCTGCCCGGGGCAGAACGACTTCCGTTCCAAATGGCGGCCAAGTTTCTGGCACCTGCTCATGTCCTATTCTGGAACGCACGAGCCAGTTTCAGGAGGTGCATCCGCATTTCCCTTTCCCAGGCTATGCATAGGAGGGGAAGTTAGAAACATAGAAATAGAGTGAGTCAGAAGGGGTCTCCCGGGCCATCTAGTCTGACCTCTGGCACCAGCCGGCTCCACCCACGACATGCCCGCCATGTGCACGTCCAGCCTTGCCTTGAACAACATGACGGTTAACATGACAGGAAAGAAATAACAGCCCTGGGAATTTCACTGGAAGCCATAATTATCTTTTTGGGACTTTTGGAAGGAGAATAGATGAATGAATCATCATCATCATTACTGGGTTGTATTTCTATGCCTCCTGTAGCCAGAGCAATCTGGAGGTTCATAGCATTTTAAATAACCCCTCCAGATTCCATCCAGGCCCAAACCTGCTTAACTTCCAGGATTAGGCAGAATTAGGCACTCATTAAGCTATTATTAATGTATTTAGTAATGGGGACAAGAGTTTGAATAGCCTAAGAGCTGCAATAACTGAATGGGAAATTAAAAGTTGGTCTTTAATTAAGTCCGTGTAAATGGATCTTTTCAGTGAGGGTTAGAGAAGGGAGGAGTAATTGCCATGAAAAAAATGTATATAATAGATACTTTCATTAGTTGGAGCAAAAACCTGGCACTAGTTGAAATTGTTCAGATTCAGCTATTAAGTCATCGGTATTTAAATTTGCCACACTGACACAAATTGGTGCTGCTTACTGTATAATATTTAATATAGCATACAATTAGAAGATTTCAATTTTTACTGAGTAATTGATAAATTATTTGTATTTTCAATATATTTCTTAATTAAAACATTAAACATTGCAAACAGTACACTGAAGTTACACACACCATCCCTTTTCTCCTTGAAGGTAGCAAAATCAGTCCTAATTCAGCCTGGTTCAAAAGCTGCCAACAAACAAGTCTCTATTTGTAGGAGACAATTTATTCCCTAATATTAATAAATATATAGACACACAAAGTCTGTCCTGCAGGATGTTGCAGAGTTAAGCCATAACACAAGTTTTTTTAACCCAAACTTGGTAAACTCTCAAAAAATGCTTTTAACAATCAAGCTCTCATTATACTGCACTTTCATTTGCTTTGAAAAAAAAAAACCCCTACCTTCTGATCTAACATTTTTTCTTTCTAATAATCTGTTTAATCAGATTCGTCATCTTCCATACTAGATATAATGCTGCTGTGGCATTTATTTATTTCATTGATATACCGCCCGATAGCTGAGGCTCTCTGAGTGGCTGACAAAAGTTAAAATTAAACAAAAGCTTAAAAGGCACACATGCAGCAATAAAATTAAAAGAGCAAAACCGCAATTGCTATTATGCAGCCCAAAAGCACAGCATTGGTACAGAAATAAAACAGGATATATCGTTTCTCTGCTGGAGAACTGGAATTAAAATGGATGGTATATTATCCTGCCATAGCAGTGACTTTTTTGTAATGGCCTCTTCCACTCCATGCAGCAAATGTCCCCAAATTAAAAGCATCTCCTTTCACTTTTCTCTGGTTTTATTGCTTCCTGTTCAGTGTGGCTAAGGGATTGTGCACTTACTCCTGAGAAAGGGCTCCTTTACCTGTGGAGTTTAGCTCATTGATTTACCGAAGCTGCTGCTTTCATTTCCATTGCAGAAGGGGAAAAATGTCCTTTACATAAGTTTTTCCCCTGGGTTTGTATCCCTCTGCCTTTCTCTACATTTGCAACTTCTCACCAGACTTTTTCACTGGTTTATATAACCAACCCTGACTGCTCTTTAAGAGGACAGATGCTGAAGGAGAAGCTCAAATACTTTGGCCACCTAATGAGAAGGAACAACTCACTGGAAAAGACCCTGGTGCTGGGAATGATTGAAGGCAAAAGGGGATGGGGACGGCGGAGGTGGTTGGATGGGGTCACTGGGGTGGTGGGTGAGGGCTTGGGTGGACCCTGGGGAACGGTGGAGGACAGGAGAACTGGAGGAATGTTGTCCGTGGGGTCGTGAAGAGTCGAGCACCACTTTGAACAGCAATACCAGACCTACCTCACTCTAAAAAGAAAACTGTTAAAAAGACTGGAAAACATAGAGGAAGTCCTGGAGCACAATGACATCATCCAAGGCCCCACAAACCTCTGAGAGTGAGGAATCACAAGAACATAATCAAGGCCTTGGGTAGAGAAGCCCTAATTCTCGTTATCTGGCATTATTTTTCCCAGTCTTTTTTTAAATTGTAACAATAATTGAATAGCTACTCCCACAGGAGTGAAGCTGTGTAATCAGGGGGAAATAAGGGGCAATCCTTCACCGCAGCCTCACTGAACAGGAAATAAACCGGGAGTGTCCAGAAACCATTTGTGTGAGCATTTCCTTCCGGCCTCAGCCGTGCGCACAAGGCCACCATTGGGCCTTGTTGCAAAAACAGACGGACAAAAAATAGCCACCACGGGGCTGGAAAAACAGCCCAGAACACACTGGCGAGCTGACAGGTTTTCTGCAAAGAAAGCCAGGAAGGGCCAGCAGGAAAGCAGCACAGCTCTGAGCCAGGCCAGCCTTCCAGAAGCAAGGCAGGTGCTTGCGTGCGCCCATGCCAAAAGCGGCACTCGTCACCCGTGCTCCAGATCACCCAGCCCCGCTCAATGCATGGCCCACGAGGCATCGGCCTCTGACGGCCCCTGCCTCTCACGGCCACTCTCGGCTGGTTGAACACTTGCATCCTGCCGCTCTCGGAGTTCCCCAGTGGACCGGCGTTTGCTTTTTGTCCCGCAGGTGGTGCCTTCGCGGTCTTTGAGCTCTTCAGACCCAGGAAATAAATGGCGAGAACGGCGCTGGCGGGGCTGACCTACAAGCACAGCTGCTCCCCACCCCCCTCCCTGGAAGGGCAGCCCCTTCCCCAGGCCGCTCCGCCGGGTCCTCTTCTGGGGTCTACGGCAGAGGGCAGCAGACACGGGCAGGGGGAGCAACGCGACCGTTGGCTTGAAGGAAAACGTGCTTCCGCGCAGCATGACTTGGTAAAGATCCATCTGTAGACATTAAACCACAAATAAATAAGACTCACATGTCCTTTAACGAGGGTCCCGGAAAGAAACCCGGACAAAAAACACCTGGTTTGCCACCACACGTCTGCAATGCCACGACAAACACACACACGGCAACACTCCCCGTGGCAAGCTGCCCATCGGGCCGGCCACGCTCGGGCGCGTGCGTGGCGATGGACCGACGGGCTCGCCCGGCACTGGGGGCGACCACGGGACACCCACAGCGGGGACGGGGGCGGGTCGGAGGGCTTCATCCCGTCCTCTGCCCCCGGCTCTTTTAATGGGAGATGCTGCTGGGGCTCGAACCCTGGGAGCCCGCAAGCAAAGCGGGAGGGAGGCAGCCAAGCTGCAGCGCCCCCCCAGGCGACCGAGAGATGGAGAGGCGAGGCGTACAACCTGGTGTACAGTTAGACAGGGAAAGGCCTACAGCTCCCAGCATGCCCCAGCATGCCATGGGGCATGCTGGGAGTTGTACGCCTGTTCTCCGTCTAAATGTGCATAGAGTTGTGTCTTAAGGCATTCTAGTTCTTCCTCTGTCTGTTTAAATTGACAGTATTTTGCTCTCATTTGGGGGGGAGTTCTCGGGGGGATTTTCTGCTCAGCCAGTTGGAATCCACCGGGTTTTGACTGGATGGGGGATGCGTCCTCCCTCCACGGAGAGGTACCACCCCTAGCCACACGCTTGCGGGGTATGGCTTGGAGCCAGAGAGAGCTGAGCAGAAGGCAGTCTCCTGGGCAAACAGGCATAGCATCCTGCATGGGCAGGCCGTGGACGATGCTCCTGGGCTTCCCCACGGGGTGGGCCAGGGGGTGGCTCTGCTTAGCTGCAGACCAAAGGGCTTGGCTTGTCCTTGTAGCAGCCAGCAAGTTTGCACGCTTGTTCAGGAAACGGGCGAGTCGCGGGATGGAAAGCGGGGCGAAAATGCCTCGGCGGGACGCGATCCCCTCTGGGTTTCGGGGGGAGGCGCTGGCTGTCGTGCGGTGGGGGGAGGCAGCGGGGGGGCGGCTCAGGCTTTCTTCAGCATCTTCGTGGTTTGGTTGTTGGCCGCGTTGATGCTGATCACGTTCGCGACCGCCTGGGAAGGAAAGGAGACAGATGCTAAGTGGCACTCAGAGCTGGAGAGTTTGCGGAGGGACGCAAACACCGTCACGCTCCAAATCCTCACGTCAGCAGACCTGCAAGCGAGCCACACGTGGCCTGCAACTGGAGGGCGAGATTCAGTGCTCAGAAAATCTCTGGAGAGCTGCATTTCCGTGGTGGGTGGGAAAAAACACAAGCCCAGCCCCGTACCTTGTCGTTTGATGCTCTTCCCGACAAAGTTTTGGGAATCGGCAAAGCTCAAGCTTGCGGAAGTTCTCCAAATTCCTTCTCATAGCTCATTCTGACCCCAGTCCACCCCAGATTGTGACCCTGGCTTTTTTTCTATCCATACATGCAACTCCATGCATGTTTTCACGTGTATTTCCCAAAGGCTCACATAGATTACGCCCCTCTTTGAAATGTTCTGCATGTTTTTCAAGTGTGCACATTTCTTCACATGTATTTTTCAAACATACACGTGATATTTAGATATTTCGGCCTGGACAGTTGGGGCTTTGACTACGGATTACCTCTGGCTCTGTGTTCCATCTAGAAGTTGCAGACTGGCTACTCCCTCATCAGAAATTAATTGAAATTAATTTTTTCCTGCATCACTACGCCAGCAAGGCCTTTAGAAACAACCACAGAACGCACTGCCTTCAGTAAGAGCCACGCCAGCCTTTGCCTCCCTGGCGCAATTCCCCTGTCCAATAGCCATGCTGGCTGGAATGATGGGGCTTGTAGTCGGCACACCTGGAAAAACCAGGCTAGGAAAGACTGGCATGCGTCTTTCAGGAGCAAGGATGCTCCGGAGGCCCAGCTGCAGCTGCAGGGAAGAGCCTGGAGAACCGCCGGCCTGCACGCTGAAGGACACTCTTGCGATTGCCGGCACAATATCGGGAGCACAGGAAGGACCGGGCAGGAGAGTTTGCAGGATTGCTCAGTGTGCGGGTTCGGCTTGGGTGCAGCGCGAGCGAGCGAGCGAGCGAAAGGGGACAGCTCTGCGCCGCGTCCGTGCAGCGCGTGCCCTCTCACCTTGTCTTTGATGCTGTCCACCTGCTTGCTCTGCACGTCGATCTCGTTGCTCATATCCACTGCCATGCTGCGGAGGTTGCTCAGCATGCTGTCCACCTGGGTCAGGTTCTGCTCGATTTCTTCCTCCACGTCATCTTTCGTTACCCTGAACAGAAACACACACGGGCCAGTGAAAGGGGATGGATTCCGAGGAGGAGCCGGGATTCCTGTGCTCTTATGGCAGCGATTCCCAGGCAATAGAAACAGAGAAACAGAGCGAGGCAGAGGGGGCCTCCCGGGCCATCTAGTCTGACCCCCGGCTCCAGCCGGCTCCGCTCACGACATGCCCACCATGTGCACGTCCAGCCTATCCTTGAACACCAATGCACCAATTCACAGTAACACACTTTGGAGAATCCATTAAAGGTGCAATCCTAAGCGTGTTTAGATGGGGGCAGTCCTGCGTTCCCAGCATGCCCCAGCCAGAGTCCTCTCCATCCAAACATGCACAGGATAGGCCAGAACGCCAAGCCTCTGCTGGGAGCCCCTCAGCACTCTGGGCCACTCTCCCTTGCCCTGGACAGGGACTCCCCCAGATCCCTCCTGGCAGCATCCCCCTTTTGCCCAGTCGAAAACAGGATCTATATAGGCAAAAATTCAACATTATATAGAAGTGACGGTGAGCCACAAAGACATCTGCTGGAAATCTGTCCTTACGGCATGAAAAGCATCATTTTTGTAAGCGGAAAATAAGAGCGTGATGCTTCTGAAAAGTGCATTGTATCATCCTGAGCTGAAAAAGGACCCTTTACAATGCACGCCATCATTGTGTTTTCACACTGATCTTGAAGGACACTTAAACACTTCTTTAACACTCAAAGAAACCGTTGAGAGTGACGTTCACTGACCATTTTTAATCCAGAAAAAACCATCGGTACGCTAACAAATGCCTTAAGAGTGCAGCGAAGAGTGCCCCCCCCACCTCTCCAGCCCAGCATAACTGCAGCAGGCCGTCCATAAATGGGGGAAGAAAACCCATCCCAGCCTTCCCTCCAGCCCTCCCCAACCTGAGGGACTCCAGGAGTATTGTGCCACGGCCCCCATCATCCCCGGCCAGCAGGAAGCCATACCCCTCTTCGCCCCGCTTTACCTCTGGATGAAGGGCCCGCTCATGACCATCTGGTTCCCGTCGGCCACGACGCAGGGCTGCCGGGAGACCACCTTGTCCTGGCCGTTGCCGCTGGCGGCTTTGCTGGCCTCCAGGGCTTTGATGCTCCTTAACCTGCAGGGGCAGAGGGCACACCTGTAGGCGGGACCCCCGGAGCACGAGGCCCAGCCAGGGAGGGGCTCCCAGCTCCGGAGAGAAGGACCTACTTGGCGCACGGGCAGACGAAAAGGCCGCAGCACTTGGCCATGTCCGTGAGGTTCTTCTCCGCCTCCTTCATGTCTTGGATGATCTGGTCCAAACCGTCCTCAATTCGGTCCAGCTGCTCTGAGCCGGAGGAGAAGGAAGGCAGGCCAGTGAGATTTCTGCCCCGACGCCCGAGCCAAGAGGGAACCGGCCGGTGCAAAGCTCACACTCGCGGGCCGCCCCTTCCGCACGCACAGGCTGGGTCCGCATCGGAGTGCGGGGACGGGGGGCCCGTGTCGGGGTGCTGCCCTGGGCCTGGCTTTGCCTTAAAACCTCAAGAGCTCCCCAAGCAACCCATGATCAGAACGAGCCCACCCCATGTTAGCTGGGTTCAGAGCGTGCAGTAAGCCACAATTCAGCCAGAATCCACAGTTCCCCATCGACTGGCCCCGCATGAGGTCTGAAGACACATCAGGCCTCTGCTGGGGTGAAGTTAAGCAGGCCTGGGCTGGCCTGGCTTGGAGGGGAGACCCCCCCGGGGGCCACACGGAGATCCCTCGAGTTCCCCCATGGGAGAAAAGTGGGAGATGTATTCATTCTTCAACAGGTAAATAAATAGGCGCTCAGCCTGTACGCAGCCCCTGAGCGTGAGTTACCGTGTTCTTGGAACCCAGGCACACGATGTCTGCTTGTTTGGGCTGGGTTACTTTTGAGCAGACCCAAATCATTTGGGACCGGACAGCATCTCCCATCATTCCCAACCAGCATGAGCACTGGAATGGCAACAGCTGCCATGCAGCAGATCCAGAGGATGGGAAAGAGGGTGCGGGGGGAACATCACGCAAAGCAGGAGCCCCGTGGTTACACTTTCGGCCTTTCTTACCTCCCTGATCATCCAGCATGACCAGAGTTCGAATCCCGGCATCCTTGCTCTGAAAAGAAATGATTGAATGAGGGGAAACCGGACAAGGATAATAAACTCCACATAATATAGCTTTATTTCTGGGGTCTGAAAGAGACCACCCCGAAGCAAGGGACTGAATGCAGAAAGGCAAGGCAAGATTATGGAAAAGTATCGCTTTTAAGAATCCCAACGCTTTTCAAAGATGGGGCACTTCCTGGAGGTTCAGAGAACTAGGCAACATTTGGCAAGCTTTTAACGAGGGCTGGGGTGCTTTTGTCAAATGTTTTTCAACAGCTTTGTTTGTCCTTTGCTATTATCTTTCACATTTTGTTTTCCAGGTTTTAATCCTTGGTAAACCAACCCGAGAGATTTGGCTTCGGGGTGGAAAGCACATTGTAATAACTACATTTCATTGCATTTTCCAGTTCTAATAACCAGTTTACTGGCTTGCTATATAGGGATATACTAACCTAGAAAGGGAATGCTAGAGCTGGGCCAGTGGGAGTTTTGGGTGGCATTTCTAGCAGGTTTGGGCGATGCTTTGAAGCAATCTTTAGAAAGTGTTGTGTTTTCACATGGTATCTTTATATTTTGGGAAGATAATTTGTGTGTAGGGGTGCTGGTGGGTGGATGCCTGCATCTTTTTCTTGGAAGTTATTGTGTTATTTTATAGCATAGTCAAAGGTTTGGCACTTTTTAAAGGTTGCATGTGACAATACCTATTTCGGTCTATCTCGAATGTATTTTGAATATGATCTAAGGGGTTTGTTTTCCGGAGCATGTTAATTATCGTGTATCTTGCCCTGCTTTTGTTGTAGACGTTCCTTGGAGAAAGAATAGTTTGGAAACCTGTTGTGGATTGCACAGCTTTGCAGCTGTGTGTTTCCTCGCCTAAGAGCTGTTCCCCAAACCCAGGGCGATGTCAGTGGGCGCGAAGCAGAAGGGGAAGGTGGAGGGCGGGTGAAGGGCTGAGGGGCTTAGAGCTGCATTCCCCCAAAGGCATCCCCCTGGTGGGGTGGAGCGGCAGACCAGCCTGTCCAAAGGACGCCAGCCTGGAAAGGCTGGTGGGCTACTGCTGGCCACTTTCTGGCACAGAAATGAGGCTCGCCCCAGATGGAAAGGGCGCCCTTTGCTCCGCCTCGCTGCCACCCAACCCCGAGGCCAACGTGCTCAAGTAAGGCTGGGCTGCGGAGTCGGAGGGCAGGTGGCCCACGGATCCCCGGCGGTCGCTTGCTCGCCCTCCTTCCGCCCCCCGCTTCTGTCTTACCTCGTCTACCAGCTGCAGCATCCTCCGCGTGCTCTCCAGAGACTGTGGGGGGACCAAAGCAAGAAGGATTCAGAACTGCCCGGGGACAGAGACACAGACAGGCCGTCTGGGCAGCTGGGCCCCTCCAGCAGGGCCTGCGCTTCTGTGGAGGGGCAGCCCATGTCCCCCGTGGAGCTGGGAAGGCAGGAAGAGCCTTTAAGGCTGGGCCGCCCCTCCATCCCATAATCGGGCGGTCGCCGGAACGCGGATGGACTCCCCCTACCTCATTGTTGACTTGGCGTATGCGCTGCTCCAGGCTCTCCCCCTCGGCTCCCACCGTGCCGTTGGCCGCCATCGCCGGGTCCTGCAGGAACGTGCAGAGCGGGAGGCTGTGCTTGTGTGGACGGGGCCGGGGTCCCCTGCGGAAAAGCAGGCGGGATCGCTGAGTAGAGAAGCCGAAATTCTGAGAGACTGTCCTCACTCCCCTCGTGATGTGGGGCGTCGAAAGGTCCGCACCGAGAAACGAAATGAGCCCCCTTCCCAGCGTTTCTCTCCCTCTCGGCAGTTGGAAAGTTTCTCTTTCTGTATCTCGGGGCACCGTGACCCTGAGCACACTCCGCCCAGCCTTCGCTAACCTGGCCCCTGCCAACTGTGTTGGAGTACAGCTCCCATCAACCCCAGCCATGATCCTGATCTCTGCATACATAGCACACTCTTTCCCCTACGGGATCTGACCTGGCACATGCCTGTTCTGGGGAAGAGGTAGAAAGCAGAATTTTTAACATGCCTTCTGAGTGTTTGGGCCTTTGCTTTTTCTGTGTCTGTTTAGCATAATTTTTTCTGCGTCGATCAGCCAAGGGAACCGCAAGCACAAAGACCCTTCATGGGCAGACCAGCCACTGTACATCTTGTGCAACTGCTCTGGGGATTCCATTGGGATTGACCTCTGTGTTTTAAAACAGATTTTTACAACCACCCGGGCTAAAACCCGCCCTTTTAAAAGGCCAAGGTTCACTAGAAATTGGGTTCTGTGTTAAGTGAGGGACTCCTGCCCCTAAAAGCTTTATTCGGCTGTCCGTCTGGCTATGCAGGCTTCAGTGGGAATGGGCCATACATTTCCAAACGTACTATTGCCACCATGAGGACTAGAATTCTGCTTTTCATTTTTTAAAAACCCCGCTCACTTTCCTGAGGCAGCACTGCTTCCTTGTCACGTGCTGCAGTCCGTGTGTCCAGCAGCATCACCCCACTGACACCGCCTGGCTAGGACCCAGTCCTCAGGGCGCATTCCCACCCCCAGGGTCAAAGCAAGCTGGGCAGCCTCGCGGTGCCACAAGAACCTTCCTCTGCAGGTCCCAGAAGCCGTCCTCTCACCAACTGCCAGGCCTCAGCAAAGAGGCTGCCAGATCGCTGCTCTGCTCATTAATATGCCTACCGAGGAGACAACAGATCAAGGGGGGACACCCCCTGGCGCCCCCGCCCTGCCTCCTCTGCAGTGGGGCGCTTCAGCAGCCCCGAACTGTGCAATTATCGTGCTTGAGCCGTGCAGCTGCGAGCCTCGAATGCCGCCCACCACCCTGCCGAGACCTCGCCGGGCTCCCACCTTCTGCTGCCCCACTTCGCCCGCCTGGATTAAAAATAGGCGCTCACTGCAAAGAAGCTGGGGGAGGGGTGGCGAACGAACGCGAGGAAGAGGAGGCGAGGAGGAGGAAGGGGCCAGCTGCAGAGCCTCTGGCATGACGGGGGACCAAGGAGCAGCCATCAGAACAGACGAGCCAGCAGGAAATCGGCGGTGCAGGCGCAGACCGAGAGGGCCAGGGAGGCGCCGGAGGCCCTGATGCAAGGAGGGAATTGGGGCGATCACGTCAGCAGAACTGTGGGACATCTCCCGGGAGCGGAGGGGGCTTGCCTGGGCTGGCTGGGGGTATGTGCCGGCTGCCGCCAGGCCTGGCCACCAAGAGGCAGCCCGAGGCCTCTGCACGGCCTCCCTGTGGGTCTGCCAGCCAGCCAGCCAGGACTGCTCAGCATTCCCCACAGTGCGTGTTTCAGAGCAGAGGACTGTCCCCTGCAAAGCAGGACATGTGGCCACCCTACCAGCCACCGTATGTCGAACCTGTCTGGTTATTATCCCTGCAGGAAATGGCAAGCCTGCCAGTGTTGCTCCCCACCCCCCTGGTCTGGGATTCTCCAGCTTAGGAACTGGCTCAGTCCTTGGGGCAGTGATGGCCCCCGGCTGGTGCCGAGGAATCTCTGGACGCCCCCGGGGGAGACCCTTCTGTGGCCACACTCCCCGTCACGGAAGGGTATCCTGCAATCCTGACCGAGCCGTGCTGCTGGTGACTCAGCCGCAGGGTCCGCCTCTCGACAATCTCCGCGGCTGCGAGCCGAGGGGCTCGCTCCCTGTCAGGCCCGCGAGCAACACGGCCGTGCCTCAAAACGCAGCAGGGAGGGCAGGCCCAACCCGTGCCATGGCTGCCTGCTTCGGGGCCACTCGCCACGCTGGATCCCTTCGCGCCCCAGGCAGCGACCTGCTCTGCCTCCCCCAGGAGCACCCCTGGGGCCAGCGTGACTCATCCGCCTGGCACGAGCCGTTTCGCACCTCGTTGGCCTCCCTCCTGTCCAGGTGGGGGAAAAATTGCACCCGGAGCCCTTGCAACCCAGTCAGCGGCCCGCCGGCTGCCGGAAACATCCTGCACACGCCTCGCTCCGCACCAGCATCCTCTCCCGCTGCACTGACCTTTCGCATCTCCATCGGCGTTGAAGCAAGGACAAAGTGATTACCGTGGATTCCCGGCACCATCCTCACACGGCTCCCCTGCAGATCTGCCTTCGCAGCAGCTGAAGAGGCTGCTGGCCCGGGATGTCAAGCTCGCCACCTTTCCCACTAGGTCAGGCTCCTGTGCTCCAGCACAGAATGCCACAGAGACATGCCCCCCCCCCCCCGCCCCACAGGGCAGCTGCTGCTCTGGCCCCTCGGCCTGGCACAGATCACGGGGCACCTTGCCATCTGCTGGCAGTGCGCAGTTGCCGGGGCTTCTGAGGGGACTGATGCTCTGCACCTGGGCTACAGGTGTGGCCGAGCGGCCTGGTGCTCCCTGCCAGAATCTGGGGAGCCTCCCCCCCCCCCAGCCTCACAGAAGTAGTGGGTCTATTTTAATATAATGCCAATCTTCGAGCTCTTAGGAAAAACAGTCCGATCAGGGAGCTGCACTAGGCAGCCTCCTGAATTTCTGGGCAGGGACAGAAATACGGCACTTATCCTGCGGCAAGTTTTCCAGGCCCACAAGAGAAAACAGTGGTTATTCCTGCCAGAGCCCACGATCTGGAAAACGAACATGTAACAGAAGAATCACGAAAGGGGAAGGAGACAAAGAAGAAAAAGATGATGGGGAAGGGGAAGGGGAAGGAGGAGGGACACGAAGACACAACAGCGTTGTTAAAGGGGCTGATCTGAAAATTTGCCCTCTTTAACTGGAACACCAGTTCATTGGCACAGGTTCGAAGGGAATCCTCAGCACTACCTGATACCTCGCAGTCTAAGAGTGCAGCTTACTCGCAGTTCATGGAAGTGACTGTGGAGTATATTGGGGGATTTCGAAGATTAAAATACCCTGGCCTAGGCGGGGTCCCTACCAAAAGCGGTGGGAGAGAAGATTCGTTCCCAGCCCAAATGATAACGAATTTTCCGGCGCCAGATTCTTCAGTCAATCAGACCTACCAACAGGGCAGCGCCAACATTTCAGTAGATTTCACGATTTGCCGTCCCAAATGCTCCCTCACAGAGTGGCCCGCTCATAATTGCCCTGACCCTGGGCTTATGCGTTGGCGCACCTGCGGTTTCGGGCGCCTCTTTTGTGGACATAAAGCATAATGTGCTCGCAAGAGCAGAGCTGCCCAGTCCGCACGGGTCTGCCGAGAGCGACCACGGCTGTCACACACGCACCTCGCCAAAGGCTGGTTGCAAACCGCTACACAACCAGGGCTCGTGCGCAGAACGGCCCCAGAAGCTCACAGGTGATGGAGAGCGATGTTCGGAACAGCATTTCAAATGGCAAGGTCCTTCGGGAACTCCTGTGGGGAGCGCATTGGCACGGATAAGCAGCAGAGGGCCAATCTGTGGGCTCCCCGTGCTTGTGCCCATCCCAAAATCAGCATCGCAGCGCCATTCCCCAGACTGGAAACTCCAGACTCCGCTTCGCCACCGCAAGCTGAGACGAGCGCATCCCCAGAACCTGTGTGCCTCGGAACTCCGGAATTCGCTCCAGGAAATCCTGATGCGCCCCCCTGACAACAGCCTTCCCCTCCCCTCCAGGGGTGCTGGACCAAACTCTCCTTCCAGACCGTGCTGGCTGGGGATGACGGGAGTCGCGACCCAACCTACTGCGATGGCGCCTTCACAAGAGAGCCGCGGCCCGGTCAGCGCCCCCCACTCTGGGCAGCTGCCCCGTGCCGGAGGAACCCCCCCACGACTGAATTCAGCCCCGCGCACTCAGCGCAGCGCCGTCCGCCTCGTCGAAGATCGGCGGCGCCACGCGCAAACTTTGCGCGCTCGCCAACAGGTGCGCGCAAGAGGCGGAGGGGAGCGGAACGCCTCGCCGGCGCGCCCCGGGCAGGGCTCGTTCCGCGCGCCGCGGAGCGCACCCCCCGCGGGGAAGTTGGTCCAGCCCGGCGGGGGGCGACGCTTCGCCGGAGCGGCCACTTTCGCCGGCAGCCTCCCCTCCCGCAGCCCGGCTCCCGCCCCCGAGCCCCGCAGCACCTGCCCGCTCACCTGCCCGCGCTTCGCACCAGACGCCGCCGGCGCTCCCTGCCCGCTCGCGCCCGCGCTCCCGCTCCCGCACAAGCCCCGAGCCGCCGCTCGGGATGGAGCCCCGCCCTCCCGCCACGGGAGGCAGCTGTCCCTGACCCACCCCCGGAGCCCCTCCATTGGGCGGGCAGCCTGAGAGGCAGCCGGAGCGGCTCGTTCGTTGGTTGCCGGGCTGAAGAAAGGGACAGGGCAGGGCAGGGCTGGGGAAGCCTCGGGCTGGTACCCAGCCTCCGTCCCTCCAGGGGATGCTGTTGCCAGGGGCAACCCGACGACGTGAGCGGGGGGGGGCGGTGGCGGTGGCGGTGGAAAAGGCAGCTTGGCATGTTCACCTGGCCGACTGCACCAGGCCGAGTGGACTTTAAGCCCCAGGGGAGAGCAGCCGCACTGGGGATTTGGGCATGTTAAACTGGGGTGTGGCATCCACAATGGCCTGCGCTGCCCCCCAGCTGAGGCGCCTCTCCGGCCAGGGGCCTCGCAAGTGGCACCTTTGGAGCCTCTCCGAGAGCCAGGCTAGTAACCCAGGCAACCTGGGCTTCTTTGTAACCTGGGTGACTGGAGCATCTCGGCAACTCGGGTGTCTTCGTAACCCAGGCAACCGGGGCATCTTTTGGATAACCGAGCCAGATAACCTGTGGTCTGGTTAATGCCGAATGATCCCGAGAAGAGGGTTGGGAAAACAGGGGCTTTGTCTGGACCGTCCCTCATGATAGGCGCGGACTCCAAAGCTCCCGGATCAGTGGAAAGTGGGAGAGAGCCAAAAGCAGTCTGGTCTAGCAGCCTCTGCTCTGAGCTCTGTCCTGCTTGGCTCCCCTTCCCCTCCAGCAAAAAGAGCAATTACGGCAAGGGCGGCTTCCCAGCCAGCGCCATCCAGGGGTTTTGGGATCCCACTTCCAGCCTGCCTCAGCTGCTCCTGCTGGGAGCCCTGGTCTGGCACAGCGGGAGGAGGGCATGAGGAAGGCCAATTTTGGCCAGACGGTGCTGCACGGAACAGGATGCCTTTCTGGAAAGTGCCTCCAGGTAACAGTTCAACAGAACCCCGTAAAGCTCCTGGATACGTGGCATGAACAGCCATCCAAGCAAAGAAGCACAACCAAGCCCATAAAGTGCACCAAGCCACGTGTGACACACGACAACAAACGATCATTCACTCTTTGCCACGGACCAGTTTAAGGCTCTGCTCAGCTACCTAAAAGGAGAACTCACACAGAGGATGAACTGGAACCCCATCCTGCACACATTCGGACTGGGGGGAAAGGACTACAACTCCTAGCATGTCCCAGCCTGTGGTGCTGGCTTCCCGCCACCTGGTCTCCTCAGGTGGAGGGGAGAGGATTCCTCCAGGAGTCCCCATGGGCTGGATTAGGCCCCTGAGCCAGGTGCTTTGCATCCCTACCTAAAATGCAGTTAATTGGCTGTAGCACAGTATTTGACTTCTAATCAGTCCTTTTCTTTCACCTAGTCTTCCACAGGCTTGCAGCTCCTTCCGTCTGTCTCACTAGGAGGGGCTCGCTCGAAACCCAGCCGGCATCACCCTCTGCTTGGGTTCCCCCGACTCTCCAGCCACGCTCGGCGGAGCCCTTTCCGAATCGCATTTGGTGCGCTTTTTATCGCAAGCCATTTAGCAAAAGTGTCTGAGCAGAAGAACGGGGCCCGGAGCTCTGATCTGCTGCCTCAGGTCACAGCAGGGAACGAGAGCGCTGGCTCGCTTTCCTGGGTTGCGGCGATGGTGGCTGAGACAGTGAGGGGCTCGTGCCGCGCGCATGTGCCTCCTCCGGGCAAAGAAGGTGGGGGAGGGGTGGCGAACGCGAGGAAGAGGAGGCGAGGGGGTGCCGGCCGGCCAGAAGCCAGCCCACTGCGTGCCGGGCTCGCGGTCCTTCGGGAGCGACGGGAGGACAAAGAGCTTATGTCTGCAGGCCAAGAACCTCCCCTTCTCCAACCCCGTGCCCTCCACTCAGGCTGGAGTACAACCTCCATCCTCCCTAGCCAGCACGGGGAGGATAGCAGTTGCAGTCCGGCTGCTGTGAAGGGGAACAGGTTGGGGAAAGTAGATGGCACAGAAGCGCTGAATTTTCGGCCTGCAGTTCCGAAGGGACGTGCCGTGCCGGGAAGAGAACGGGCCGCGCATCGCCGCGCTGGCCCATCTCCCCCCCAGTAAGGTCTGGGTCTGCCAGCAATCAAAGACGAGGGCTTTATCACCCCACCCATCCATCATCTGCCTGTCATCCATAGGAAATGAGAAATGCCAGCGGCCAGGAGAAGGATGGGGCTCGGCTGACTCAGGGCCGGCGGAGCAAAGGCTGATTCACGCATCCGCCGAGCAGCCGCTCTCGTCTCGCTTCGCTCTCCTACCTAAAGGCACCTCTCTGTGCCGCTGTCCTGGAACAACAGCAACTCCCAGCATGCCGGCTGCTCTCCGGGCAGCTGCACACGGTTGTCCCGAAAGTCACATTCGTTCCAGGCAGCCCGGCATCCGGGGATCATACCGTCCCATGCGGACCCTGCCCCCGCCGGGGGCAGCCAGCGGCCATTCCACTCCTGGGCCGCCACAACTGTGTTGTGGGTGTGGAGGAGCCGAGGGGCCTTTGCACGGTCTTTTCCAATTCAGACGCCATCGCCGGCAGCGCTGCCTCCGACGGATCTTACTCTCCGCACAGCTCATCCGTCTCGTGCATTTCGAGAGACGGGTTTGCTCCTCGACGTGCAACCACGTCGAGTGGCAAGTTTCCCTCAGGTTGGTTCCTAAAAGAAACGGACTGTCAACAAACTCAGGATTCCACACAGAAAATGTCTGAAGTTCATCAAGTATTGGAAAGAAAGTGGCGAAAGGCAGAGATGCCGAAAACCAGCCCGCTGGGAAGCCATGAAAGGGCTGTTCCTTGCCCCGAGGCACTTACAATCTCGAGTGCAACGGAGAGAGGCTAGCCAGGAAGAAGAGGGAAGTGGGATGGGGGTAAAGTGGAGTCATTTCGATGCCACATTTTAATGTTGCTGCAGCATCAATGCAGCATCAGACCCAGGAGCTCCTTCCACTCACGAAAAATAAGGAAATGCTCTGATGTAAAACTCCCTCACTTTCGCTAAAAAACTGAACAGTGTTAAGGATACGGATCCCTCCCACGAAGGAAGCAAACTTTCTGGACAGAGTCCCCTTAGAAGCCCCCGACACGCACTTTCGCAGCCTGTTTCCCGGCCATGGCCCTCTCTCCCCTCCCCACCTCGTTGCTCACAACCTTTTGTCTTCTTGTGCTTTCTCACTTGCCTGCTCCTTTCCTCCCTCCCTCCCCCTCCCCCCTCCCCCCATCAAGCTACCACTCAAGACATCCCTGGCCCCACCCCCAGGGCCACCTCATTGGGTGGGCAGCCTGAAAGGCATTTGGGAGAGTTCTCTCATTGGCTGCCAGGCTGAAGAAGGGGACAGGACAAAGCTGGGCGGGGAAAGCCCCGGGCTGGTACCCAGCCTCATCCCCTTCCAGGGGATGCTGTTGCCAGGGGCAACCTGAGGACGTGAGCCAGGAAAGGATGGAAAAGGCAACTTGACATATTCACCTGGGCGACGCTGCACCAGACAGAATGAACTTTGAGCCCCAGGGGAGAACAGCATCAGTGGGAATTTGGGCGACGCTCAATTAGGATGTGGCATTAAATATGGCATGTGCCGGCAGCTGGAGCATCTCACAAGATTTTGTCCTTCTTCGGCAACTCAGAAACCTGTGGGATCTGTCCTATGCCTCACGAGAATCCTGAGCATGAAGCAGAGATACAGGGAGGAGGCAGCTTCAAATTCACGTATTCCGGCTCAGAGGGACAAGGGCACCTTAACTTTTTAGCAACAGGATAACATGTACCAGCTGCCACCGCTTGGACTTCCCTGTTCCTCCGAGCTCAGCTGAACTCCTCACAGGAACCAGGGAGGTGCGGGGACAGTTTCCCCGCAAAACTGGATTGTTCCCAGTGGTAACAACACACCAAGCATTTTGGGGCGGCCTGGTCCGGAATGGATGATGAAGCCTTTTCCGGTTTACAGAAGCACCACTCCCGATGGAGAGAAACCACGAGAACCAGTTTGAGGTGCAACACCAGCACCGTTGGCATTTGGGAGTGTGGATCAGGGGCAATCACGCTAAACACCCGCACATCAAAAGCGACCACTGCACCACTGTCTGACCTCAGGAGCCAGTCTCAGGGACCAGAACGGAATGGAGCTCACATCTCATTCTGGACCATAAGGAAGGCTGAGCGCTGAAGAATTGAGGCCTTTAGATTGTGGTGCTGGAGGAGACTCCTGCGAGTCCCTTGGACAGCAAGGCGAACAAACTGGTCAGTCCTGGAGGAGTTCAACCCCGACTGCTCTTTAGAAGGCCGGATGCTGAAGATGAAACTCAAATACTTTGGTCACCTGATAAGAAGGAAAGACTCCCTGGAGAGGAGCCTAATACTGGGAACGATTGAGGGCAAAAGAAGGGGCCGGCCGAGGATGAGGTGGCTGGATGGAGACACTGGGACGGTGGGTGTGGGCTTGGGTGGACTCCGGGGGACGGTGGCGGACAGGGAGGCCTGGAGGAACGTTGTCCATGGGTCAGGCACGGCTTTGCAACTAAACAAAGCGCATATCCGGAGCTGGGAGCTTTCTTCGTGTCCACAGAGAGCTTTGCCACCTACGGCGAACGCTGCAGAGGTTTGCCCTCTACCCAGCCGGTGCATTTAGCTGAGGGCGCCACAAACCACAAACGGGTAGCAGCAAAACACAGCCAGGCATGGAGGGAAACGAGGCCCCTTTCCGTGGAAGCAGGCGCACGGCACAGGAAGCAACACAGACGGTCCAAAGGTGGGAAGGACGACGTGTGTTTCACAACGTTCATTCCCGTCGCTAGAGCGCTTTTAGAAAACAGCGTGGGTGCTGGAGAGAAACAGACGGGCGGCACTCTTGGAAGCAGATCCCAGCACCGGAGGAGCAGGCAGGGAAGTTGCAAGACCAATCCATGGTCCAAGGAGCTCTCCTTCTGGCTTGTAGTTCATGGTTCCATCTCCCCAGCCACAAACATAGAAACACAGAAACTTAGCGAGTCGGACGGGACCTCCTGGGCCATCTAGTCTGACCCCCGGCTCCAGCTGCTCCGCTCATGACAGGTATAAGAGAATATACAAAGTATACAATCTCTTAGCAAGCTGGACTGCCTCTGAACCAAGATCAAACAAGCGGGTCTCTTCCGGCCAGCGTGACCATTTCTTTATCATCAAAAGAGGACCTCATTACAGTTGTTAAGGATAAACACTCTCGTTTCCAGGTGGGCAGGCATAAAAATATTTTATTAGAACCATCAGTTCCAAAATCTGTGTTTGAAAACACTGGACTCAAAATGGAAAGTGCCCACGTTTTGAAATTCATCACTGCCAAAACATAATTTCCCCTCCCTTAAGAGCATTCTTGTTTTCCCGTTTCAAGCCGTATGACCCGGGAGGCTGCGAGCGAGTCTCCGTCCACAATTTCCGACCTTCGCAGGCAGCCTCTTCCGCTGAGCCCAGGATCAAAATGGGGAAAGAGCAGCTCCGGGACCCGGGCAACTCATTTTGGACACGTTTTCGGAAATGCTGGCACTTGCCAAAAGGTTTCTCCTTCAAAGCAAAATAGATCGACCCAGCAGCCTTGCTAGGCTTTATTCCTTCAAAACGCACGCGTGGCAAAATCGCATGCAACACGGAAGTATCGGCGGTTCATGGGTCTGATGAGCGTTCATCCAATTTGCAATAAGGGAATTTTTTCCTAGAGTGCCAAAGAGCTAAGTACTTCGGTTGACTGGCTTCAGCTACTATTATAGAAAGCATACATTGCCCTTGGGCAGGACTATACCAGTTGCTTCTAGAACTTAAGGACAGGACAGAAGGTACACACCTCTATAACAAGCATTATTTAAATAGCTTCAGGAGGTCCTTCCCAGCCCGTAGCCTATTGCTTTTTAAGTTTGCATCCATGCGGAGTGATCAAGGATTCAGCTGTCCAGTTTTGAAAATGGGAGGCTGGGGCTTCTCTCGTTCGGCAGGTGCGAACTGCTCGCAGGTCCATCCGAGGTTCTCATCTCTTCGGCCCTGGCCTAATCTAATATGCAAAATTAAAATAGCGGCCGGCCCCTAATCGCACACTTGGGGGACAGTGAGTCCCCGAAGCAAGCGAGGTGCTGCTGGGGACGGCTTGCGTGGGCAGCGCCTCACCTGAAAGCCAGGCAGTTGCTCCGCCGCTGATGCTTGCGGAAAAGCAGAACCGGCCTGCTAGCGTGCGAATCCGAGCCGACTTGGAAAAGAAAGCGCACGCCAAGCTGCGAGCCTTCTCACAAGACCAGCAGCTGTTCCTAGTGAAAGTTAGTTTCAGGAAACGAATCAGAATGGCTAAACTAAATACTGTTTTCCTTATCTGCAATACGGATTAAAAAGCAACACAGAATAATAAGAAAAGGGTTCTTTTTCGCTTTAGAACAAGAGTCAGGAGTGAAAGCCAATATCATTTCTTAGGCTATCCCGCATTGAAGGGAAGGGTGCAAATCAAATTTTAACCCATTCCAGGACAGGCTCAGTGATGTCAGAGGAGGCGTGATCTCGGTGGAAGTCTGGTCCTTAGGAGTACATGGTGAGCTGCAGCCACTGCAATAGGAAGATCAAATGGGTCCTTTAAGCTTCTAGTCCTCATTTTCTAGATTCTTCCCCAATCTGCTTTCCCCATTTACATCCCCTTCCATGCACACGGGCTTCTCTATGGCCATCCTCACCTGGCAGGGGCTGAACCAGGAACCTTTCTGAGTACCAGCCCCTCCCAGCCCTTGGCTGCCAGCGGCGTTGCCTGGCAAAGCACACAGGCACACAGGTTCAAGGTGCACACCGACGGCAAAAAACGCCCACTGGATCATCCCAACCTCACATTCACACACACGGGCTCTTCTCCACCTCTTTGCAGCATTAATTATTTCCTGAACTCTCCTCCCCTCCTGACAAATGCAACCAGGTGCCCCCCCCCGCCCCTTGCAGGCCAGAAGACAACACAAGATGGTTGCCTCTCACCTCCTTCAGGGTCACACGGATCTGCCCGCTGCCATCCCTGTCCAGAGATTTGAAGGCACCTAAAAGCGCAAGGAAAGCACCTGCTCAAAGGCTGCCGTTCTCGGGCCGCCCTGCAGCCTGCGGGCCGAGTTCTCTCCCCCCGGGGCCCTTCCTGGGCAGGTGGCAACCTGGGACCCCGGAGCCAAGCCCGGCCTCCCAGCTGAGGGCTGAGCAGCCGAGGCGGCACGGGGAAAATGCGATTCTGGCAATGGCACTGCGGGCCGGGGCCACTTGCCCCCCCGCCCCCGAGACCATCCAGGAACCGGGCTGCCCGTGCGGCTGCTACTCACGGAACATGGCGTCCAGGCGAACCAGGCAGCTGATGAAGTTGTCGAAATCCATGTTGCCGTTCTCGTCCGAGTACCTCCGCACCAGCATGCCGTACAGCTGCTCGTTGAGCTGGAAGCCTGGCGGGAAGGAGGCCGCGAGTGTCAGGCGGGACGGGGCCCCACTCACGGCCGCCCCCCGTTCAACGGACCCCTCTCCCCAGCGCCCCGCCCCACGTCAGGCATGGGGGGGGGGGCCAACCGGCCCCGCGAGCGCCCCAGGTCGCGCCTCGTTTCCTCGGCCGGGGGTGCTCGCACCACTTTCTCCCCGGGCCCCCTCGCCATCCCTCCCCCGGCCCCCCACCTGCTGCCTGGAAGGCTCCCGGGAGCTCGTTGCGGCCGATGGTCCCCGACTGGTCCATGTCGTACTGCTTGTAGATACACTGAGGGCAAAGGGGAGACGGGAGCAGGTGAGGAGGCTGCCCCAGGCGTCGGGCCCATGGGCTCGGGACACGCCAGCCCCCCGCCCCCCCGCCCAAGGGGGCGCCTCGTGCACGAGTCCCACACGACCGGCTCACCTGCCATTTCTTGATATTGTTCCAGAGATATTTGAACTCCTCAAAGCCCAGTTTGCCAGTCGTGTCGCTCTGCGAGGGGGCAGTCAAGGGAAAAAGAAAAGGAGTGCCCCCCCAGCACACCCTGCCCCCTTTCTCCGAAGAAGGCTCAGGCGAAAGCCGGCTCCAAGGTCCCCCGCTGGGGCCAGCAATCCGGGAGCAGGAAGCCCCCAGGAACTGGGGATGCACCGTCCGGAGCCCAAGCAGCCCCTCCATCCAGTCCGCCTCTGAGTACAAGGACCAGTATTATGTCAAGAAGCTCCCGGCAGGATGAAGGCCAAACGGGGACAGCCGGCCATGCCAGAAGGGAGATTTTCAAATTGCGGAAGCAGGAGGGCTTCGGAAAAGCTGGCAGAGCACTAAACGAGCTTCCCGGGAACCCTCGAACCCCCGTTTCGGCCCCTGGCCCTCGGCTCTGCACTCCCGCCCTGGCAGGTGCAGAGAGGGCCCCTGGGCAGGTGAGATGAGAAAGTCAGGTGCTTCCAGAGGCACAGACGCCCACACCTGACATGGCGCCTTCCATGAACATCCTGCAAGGAAGCAGGAAAGGTTTTCGCGGCGCCCAGCCCCGGGGCCTGGGCCGGAGAAAGGATACGTCCATGACAGCCACCATGCTCCGACAGGTGTCGATTCCAAAGCCATCCGTCTTCAGGTCTTGGTCTAAAAAAGGGGCAAGGCTATTTCAAGACTATGGAAAGGCCAAGGGCTCTCGTGCGGAGTGATTTAGGCTGCTTTTCCCAGCTGGCCACCAGCCTCGCCCCACCTGGTCTCCCCCAAATGCGCTGAACTGCAATTCCCATCATTCCCAGACAGCTGTGGGGGATAGGACACAGCCCAACGCACACCAAAGACACCGGAAGGAACGACTTACGTCGGGTGACCACCTTGTTGAGGATGTTCATCAGCTCCGTGGCGCTCACTTCCATATCCTGCAAGAGGAGAGGCCGATGCAGCTCGCCTGGCCTGGGGCAGGCTCAGCACGTCAAGTCGCGGCTCGGATCCCGTCCGCTCGGACTCTGATCCGGCTGCCGAGGGTCTTGCAGGCGGCCACGTTCCTCTGCCTGGCCTCACCCTTGTCCTCCAACCCCAGTTGCTTAATGTCGGACCACCTTTGGCACGGGTTTCCAGAATGGTCAAAATGCCCCGGGAAGGCTTCATTATGGGCTGGAAGAGCCTGGTCTTGCAGAAACGCCCCCGTGTCCTTGGCCCACCCACCAGGAGATTCTATCCGGAGAACTTTCCGGACACTGAATTCAGCCGTTGGGCTGAAGAGGCCCGAAACTGTGGCCATAAAGGGGAACTAGGCAGCGCCCAGGATGCAAGCACAGCCCAGCCGGGGCGCCTTTCCTTCAAAGAGAGGCCCGCCAAATTCAGTGGGACACCCCCGCACGTGAGCACATGCAGGATGAACGCCCTTCCACACACAATTCAGAAATGGCCCCTTCTCTTCCCGCCAGCAAAACCTTCCCGCCACGGCACCACCAGGCTAGTCCTCAATGTTTACGGAAAGGCCCAAACGCCACTCACATCTCCTGCCAGCTGGGTGAAAAGCCGCCGGAACTGCCGCACTTCCTCGCTCTCGTTGGCCTCGATGTTGGAGAAGTGGCTGCGCGGAGGCTGGGAGGGGAGCGAGGGGTGAGAAAGGGGCGCGCGACTGACGGCCGCAGCCGGTGCCCCAAATGCTTTGCAGAGGCTGCCTGACGGGGCCGGAGCGGCTTCTTGTCTGGCTGCTTCAATCCACATTCCAATTCCTCCCCTCTTCTTTTACGGTGGTCTGTCTGAAAGTTCCTAAACCCCGGCGGCCACGCAGTGCAACAGCACACGGTGCACATTCTCAAAGTTATTTTAAAGTTTGTGCTGCACGTGACAGATTTCATCCTTGCAATGCTTCCCTGAGCCGTCTCCATGCTAACTTGCATTACGGTGTCCCCATCTCACTCCTCATTCAGCCCCAATCAGCAGGACACAATGCCGTCGGTTTAAACATACCGATTAAGTTTTGCTACAGTAAAGCTGAGTCTTTCAGAGGTATGTGGTACAGTCCTACCCGTCTACTGAGGATCCACCCTCCGTGAGACTTTCTCTGAGGTAGTCTGGATACACCAATCCCCCCCCCCACACCGCCCAGTTTGTCCTTGGGAAGTGAAAAGGTAGCTCATGCCGCCACGGTGTCAGCAATTAGGGTATCGAATGGAACCCCACTTAATCCAATGGTTCCCAACCCTTTTGGTCTGGTGGACACACTTGGGATGTTCCTCCCCTCTTCCAAAATGGCCACCACGGAGGCAGATTGCCTGTTCCTCCAATGGCCGCCGTGGCCATTCACAAGGCACTCATTTCCCAAATCTGGGTCAACCACAAAGTGGCCAGCCAGCTGCCCACAAGAAAACCACAAGTGGGACAGGAGGGAAAGGGCAGCCTCCTGCCCAAGTTCCCCAGCAGCTGGTGGGCAAAGGGGGACTCTCTCCAATACTGAATATAATATATAATCATGAGGACTAGTAGCCATTTCTTCTCCATGCATTGCCCAGTCCCTTTTGAAGCCACTCAAACAGAAGCATGCTGCATCCGGACGACTTCCCTTTCACCTGTCCTGAACCCCCAACCGTTCGGCTTCACTATGCAAGAGGTAAAGAGAGGAGAGAGCAGCCCTTGTTTCAGAGTAGATGACGGACTTACCGGAGGATCGGGATTATACTGAGCTGCTGCTTCACTGTAATGCAGACATGGGGAGAAAAGGGAGAAATGTTACTAGGGAAAGCAAGAAAGAGCGCTAAATTTCAATGATGCAAACGGACTCACTCGTGTGAGACACGCAGCCCAGTATCTATATGGCCTTTCTCTCCCACCCTTCCTCGAAGCTAACTTCGGGGGTCTCCCTCGGCCTGCTCCAGCCCCCAAGCCCTACATTTCCAGAATGCTAGTCCCAAAGTGTAGACCCTCCCATTTTCTGAGAACTGGTGTATTAACTGCACTGAGCAATCTTTTTAAAAGGTAAGTAAACAGATGGTGTCCCAGACCGCAAAACAAGGAAGAGGAGAGGTGAAAAAACAGAAACACACATTAGAAGTTTATATCGATTTCTAGCCTCAGTCGGCACAGGGAGAACTTAGCTTGCTTTGCACAAGGAGAGCTTTCGAGCCATAATTCAACTGAAGGTGCTCGAAGCTGCTTCGCCTTGTGCCGTAGGATTATTTGCATGAAGGTCAGTAGGAAAATTCCAGCTCTGATCCAGCAGGACACAAAGAGAAAGCAGCAAGGACTCACACAGACATGCACCCTGGTTTTCTTCTCCTGACTACATATCCCCTGAGCAGCTAAGGAGAATGGAACACCAGAATAAATTCTGTAACGGCCAGCACATGAGGTCCAGATCTAAATCTCACCCCATCAAGAACTTGCTAAGTGGTCAGAGGCACACGACTGTTTTCCGGCTCTCACCTGTTTTCCTTCTCTGCAGCACTGGCCTACCTTTCAGGGTTCTTAGTAATACTCTGATAATGTACACAAACTCCAAAATCACGTACAGACTACCACGAGCAAACGCCAGGAGTAACTACAATCTACTCTACCCTGTCTCCAGCTGCAAAACATTTGGAGCTCCTCCTTGTTCTTTTAAGCCTCTCCACTGAATGCCTGTTTTATTTATTATGTTTATTCTGCTAATATTTATTATATAATATTTCCCCTCCAAAACACTCCAGTGATGTCTAACACAGCTGCTGCTTCTGCCCTGCTCGACCCCGCCAGGCTGAGCGGTCTTTCCTCTCCACCTCTCCAAAATCAGCCCCATGCAGACTCCATGCGGGGCTTTTCTTCATGGGATGTTGGACTGGCGTTTGCATCCCCTTTCAAAGACTTGTTTTTTTTAAGGACCCGGCCCCCCTTTAAAGTGTGGGTCGACCAGAGCTGCACACACGATCCCGAGCTCACACAGGGGAAGGCTGGCTTGGCTGGGGAAGGGCTGGCGGAAGCTGTCGCCCAGCACATCCGGAGGGGGCCACCCGGGGAGGATGGGTGCGGCCCATGTTGACTCCGATGCGCTCGAGTGGCGCCCACACCCTCGCTAAACATGCGAGCAGGAGAGTCGGATTTCAGCCTGGCAGCGGGTGGGCAGCAGGTGTCCCTGCAGCCGATGATCTGGCTTCCTCGTGCGAGCAAACCGACCGGTTTAATGACAAACAGAGCCAAGGCAGAAACTGCCGGCATCGCTGACCTGCCGGCCCATCCCTGCAAGTGGAGCGGAACAGGCCTAGCCTCCCGAAAGACGGGCTCTCAGCCACGAAGAGGCCCGCTCCCCGGCCCCAGCCCCTCGCACTGCGAGCGAGCGAGGCGCAGAATCAGAATCCTCACGAAAGGGGTGAGGACTCCCCCCCCACAAGAACCCCATTGCAGAAGCGCTTGGACTGGGGAGCTCCTGCAGCCCCCCGCTTGCACAATGCTGGGGGCCTTTGCCCGCCACCTGGACGGAGTGCTGGACAGGGGCTGCCGGTGCCACTTACCTGATGGCGCTGATGACGCCCCCCAAGATGCCCATAGCACCGCCGCCCCCGCCGCCGCCGCCGCCGCCGCCCCCTCCACCGCTCAGAAGTCCCCCGATGACATTGCCAATGTTGATGTTTCCGCCTCCGCCTCCGCCTCCACCAAGGAAGTTTTTGACTAGGAACATTTTCCGAAGTTGTTAGGAAAGCAAGTCAAGGCAGACGGTTCTATGGAAGAGAAGGGAAAGAGGAGACGGTCACGCAAGGGAACCGCACCGCGTGCCGAGAGCCACCTGGGCGTGTGGGATGGAGATGCTTTCAAGCCATCAAGTTCGAACCAGTGCAAAGAGGGGTACGGAGGGCCGTCACACGCCACAAGTCACCCCAGTTATTTGATAATATTCACACTCTGCTTTTCTGTGAAATAACCAAAGCTTCTTCAGGGGACAGCTCACAACTGGCTAATAACAGGAAAGGCAGAACTTGCTTAAAAAAAAAAAGGTGGAAAAAATCACACACGACTCATTTCAGAGAAAAGTTGAACAGAACCTAAGACACTAGCTCACACATTTATGGAGATTCCAGGGAGATATGGAAAAAGATCACAGGATTCAGCTTGAAATCCTGAACCTAGGAGTAAATATCTAGAAGTAAATACCATTAAATGTACATCCATACATTTGTAATGTAGATTTTTGGGCTTCTGCAGCAGGGAACACCATGCTGTTCCAGCTGCGACGTTGTCAGATTATAGTTCTGCTCTTGTTAGGGTTATGCAACCCGGTGTGTATTTGGAGAGAAAAAGTACTAAAACTCCCAGTGGGCCACAACCAGTACAAATAAAATAATACAATTAAAAAAATACAAAAAGCAATGCCAGCAGAATGAGGAAAGAGAGCCCTAAATACTTAAAAATACTTCCAAATAGTTATTATTTCTATTTCAAAATGGTTCATCCTGCTTATCTTTCCAACAGAAAATTCAAAGCAGCCAATGAAACATGAAAACGAATGAATTTCAAAACACCTTGTTGCCAATTATTTGCTTTTTGATGCCAGTGGGACTGAAATCTGCTTGGAGCCGAAGTCCGCAGAAGCCAGATCCCTCCACGCAAGCAGCTGGCTTTAGAAACCTAAAGCCAGGCCTCTGAGACGGGCTGAGTGGGCAAATGCCATTGTGCTGTGGGCCTCTTGCCGCTGCTAACGCAACAGCAGGAGAAGCGCCAGGCCTGGCTGGAAACACACGCAGGAGAAGATCAGGTGGGGCATTGGGCCAGGAACAGAGGCACCCCTGGTGCACGGAAGGCAGGTTTCGGTTCCCCCAAATGCCACGTCGCGTCACACCTTGGCCAACCCAGGAGGGGAGCGTGGGAACGGAACTCCTCGGTCACTAAAAAGGCAAAAACTATCCTCTGATCCCGCATGGATCAATAAAAATCTGGGTTCTGCCCTTTCCCCCAAACACTTGGCACTTGCCCTCTGGCCCAGCTGACGGAGCAGCTGGAACCTGCCCAATGTTGTTGGACTACAGTTCCCATCATTCCCTACCGTGGACTGTGTTGCACAGCCTGGCAGCAAGCGCCATCCAACAAGATCCAAAGATGCTGGCCCGGAAGATGACACGGGTCAGCACGTCTTCTGAGGCAAGGCAAAGGGGGATTCACCGCCCCAGATTTCTCCAAAGGAAGTCTGGGATGCGTAGTCCAGTGATGGGCTTGGATGCTTGCCGGCCTGCATTACGGGACTAAGTCTCCCAGGACTCCCAGCAGGATGCCATGCTGGTCCACACCGCCTTGACGCTGCAACACTGCGCTGCAGCCCCACTGCCCCGGTGGCCTGGGACTTCGCCCTGCGAAGCCCAGGCAGCCTCTGGCAGACAAAATGTGCGCAGAAATCCAGCGCGAGCTTATAAACCGCGTTCTGCACGTTGTGGGGCTGCAGCTCCCATCCGCCTGCAAACCGGCCGTGGGGATGGGGACTTGCAGTCCAAGGTCTGGCGGGACACCCAACCCCCCCCCCCGCTCCACTTTGCTATGCCGGTTGGGGAACCATGGGCGCCGCAGTGACTGGAAGGGGAAGCTGCTCCCGCATGAGGAGGGAACCATGTTCGCGGCGCAGGGCCGATCTGCTTCTGCCTGCGCACTCAAAGCCCGGGATTCCGGGGGATCCAGGCCCCCCGGCAGCCAGGCCAGGGGTCGCCCCACCCAGGGCAACCCCAGAGAACCGCAGGGGCCTGGCCAGCCCCATTTCGCTCCTTGGGCCGAAAGGAGAACCACCACCCACAGGCGCACTGGGCGCAGAGCGGGGATCTCCCCCCAGCCCCGCGCACATCCCCCCGGGGACACGCGCGGGGACCCCAGAGAAGCACGTGGGACCCCAAAACCCGGAGACGGAGGCGTCCTCGAGAGGGCAGCGGGCAAGGGGTCCCCCCCCCAAGAGCGCCGGGGGCGCTCAAGCAGCAGCCCCGGGGAGCAGCCGCAGCACGCGAACACATGTGTGCGGAGGGGCCGAGCAGCGCTCTTCGGACGCGCGGGATCCGGCGCAGGAAAGGCAGGCCGGGGCGGTCGTCCCACGGCGGCGGGAGCCCGGGGGGGCCGGCGGGCGGCGGACTGCGGCGCGGGGCGGGCAAGGGGCCGCGCCGGCCCAGGGGAGGGGCGAGCCCGGGAGGGGGGCTCCGCCGCGAGGGAAAGGCCCCCCGCCCGCCCGCCCGCCCCGGCGAGGCTTACCGGGCGCAGCGGCTGCTCCGGCCTGCGCGCGGATCTGCGGCGGGGCCACTGCGGGGCGCGCCACGCCCGGCCGAGTCACCGCAGCCGCGCGGGCGGGGCGCCCGCCGGGTCCTAGCGCCGGGGCGGCGCGCCCTTCCGGCCCGCTTGGGATCCCCTTGGGGCGGGGAGGGCGCCGCGCAGGGCTGCTGCCCCCCCGACTGGGCGGGAGCTTGGGGCGGGGGGGGGGGGCCCCCCCCCGCGGCCCCTTCGTGTGGGTGTGTGGGGGGGGGGGGGCGCTGCACCGGTTTAATGCATGCCTGCAAGTGCTGAAAAGAAACGGAAACAAAGCGAGTCGGAAGCGGCTGGCACGGATCCCCACCGCGAGGGGAGCCAGGAATGCTGGCCTACAACGCCCCTCCTGCCCCGCCCCAGTTACCCCAGGAAGGATAAGCTGCTGGACTCCAACTCCCATTAGCCAAGCCACCGCAGACAAGAATGAGGGGATGATGGTTTCGGCAAGGGGCGGCATAGAAATGCTATAATAATAATAATAATGGAAGTTGCGGCCCCACAAGCTCGGGAGGGGGGTGTCACACGTTATCCTGCGCTTTCAGGTGTGACAGACTGCAATGTCCAGCTGGCTGGGGATGGTGGGAATTGTCGCCAGGCACATCTGGCGGGCGCCAGGCTGGGGAGCGCTTAAGTAGGCTGAAGCAGACGACGGAGCCACCTCGCCCCGATCCAGGCGGCAGTTCCGAAGCGTCATCGCGAAAGCAGCCCAGAAGCCCCTTCCCTGCCCAATGCAGGGAGCAGCTCGGGCGCGATCCGAGCGCTGCGCGGAGAAAAGGCCCGCGCCCCGGGCTTTCCCCGCCTGGACCGGCGCCCTTGGCGGATTCGGGTCGGGAGCGTCGCCGCTTCCCCCGAAGAGCGGAGCCACGTGGCCCAATGATGCGGGGCGCCCCGCGGCCTTCCGGGAAGGGCTGCCCGGCCGCGGCATCCTGCCCCGGACCCGCCCGGCCGGTTCTTCGCCCCTTCCGAGCAAGCGGAGCGCGCCTCCCGCGCCCGAGGCGGCTCCCGCGGCCAGACGGCGCCGCTCGCCCCGGCTCTGACTCGGGGGCCGGGAATGTGCGGGCGGAGGGGCGCGGCGGGCGCCCTCCGCTGGGAGGCCTCCTCCAACCTGGCGCCCTCCGCAGGGCCGGCCGTCAGCTCCCATCCGCCCCAGCCGCACGCCGAGGGCCGCGGCGCTGGCAGCTGCCCGCCAAACAGCGGCGCGGCGACGGCGCAAGGCCGGGGGTCTCGCTCCTCCCTCCCCCGCAGCCCCGGAGTTACCTTCCTCCGGGATGCGCGGGATCCCCTCTCCGTGCTCCGCGGGGCCGCCTCTTTGCACCCGCGCCCTGGCCGCTGGAGGCGCTGCGAGCCCGGGAAGGGAGGCGCCGCCCTCGCCCGGCCCCACCCCGCCCGCCACGTGACTCCCGGTTCCGGAAGAGGATGGCGGCGGGTGGGCGCCTGGCGTGCTGCGCGGGGACGCGGCTCCGGCGGCGGCTCCTCCCGCGGCCGCGGCCGCCGCTGCCGGTGCTGCTGCTGCTGCTGGGGGCGGCGCTGGTGCCGGGG